ATTGTTACTGGTACAGAGAACTACTGTGTGCAACTGTCCAACCAGCCTGATTGCAACTATTCTTCCACTTCTTTCTGATGCCTTCCTGCCTACTTGGGTCCTCTGTGCAGGAATTGTTCTCCTGAACAATGATCACACCCGTGCAGCAGCACAAACTCAGGCGCACTGAACGGATATGACATGTCCCACCTCTGCTGCACTTAGTGCCTGTCTCAAAAATGACTTGGGGGTAAACGGGCAATCGAGTATAGCAATGTCAAAAGCTGCAGTCAATGAGGAGAGAGAGACACCTCAGTTATGCTCATTGCATGCCATGCAAGCACCACAGTAAACAAAATTTCAGATAATTGTAGCATTAAGGATGACAGGATGAATGTAACCTACACACACACACACACAGAGGACAGGGAGAGACAAAGGCACAGTCACTCAATATGGATCTATAGATCACTCACCCTCACGTTAGTCAATTACAGAATAAAACTCTAATGAAAGTATTTGCCTGCTGAGAAAGATACAAATGGACAGATGCTGTGTATGTTGTGAGAGGAGGTAAATGATGGTGACAAGCAACCACTGCAAGTGTAAATACTTTCTGACTGCAGCTACTGATTTTTTTTTTTTTTACATTGGCCCAGTGCAGTCCTCAGGTCATAAGTAAAAGTACTGACTGTACAAAACGGCCCATTTGTGTTTTATCTTTGTGTATATTATAATAGTGGAGCTTTATTATTGATGCATTGTTATAAGCAGCAAATTAGCAGGTCAAAATGGAACTAGTTTTTATTGCATATTACTGGGAATTTATTTATAATCTACAAAAACACCTTATATTTTATTTGATAAACGTGTTTTGTAAAATCTGAATCTATAAACGATTTAACTAAGGCTGTAAAGTAAAGTAGGATTAAAGTAGCATCAAATGGAAAAGCTCAAGTAAAGTACAGCACGAGTAACTCAACATTTAGTAGAGTTTAGTAGTTGAGAAAATACAGGTTCCTTTAGTTAACCCCTCCAAAAACCCATAGCGGCCTACTTTAAGGAATTTTACCACTTATTGTACCTTTACAAGTATCAGAATGTTTTGTTACATATAAAATATAGTATTATCTAAAGATCTAAATATTCTCTTTGCATTAATATGCTAAGATGATTTGATCAAGGTGAAGCTAATATTACAGCTTTACATTTGGTTGATTCATTTAACCTTTAATTGCATAATATTTTTAAGCTAATCATATGTTGTATATATACAGCATGCAGGTTATTTCTCATTCACACACAGCCTTATAATCCTCTCTACAATATCACTAGCTGAATACTGAAATGTTTAAATGCAAAAGGTGATCTGTGGAGCACATGGCCAGCCCAGCAGCATTGGGGTTAAAAGAGACTGTGTGGCCACAGAGTCAGTGGCCTCGACTATATGCATGTTGTCTGTGGCATCCACATCTCTCGCATTAGTAAGCTTTGAGAGCAACGTCTCAGCCGGAGTAATTACAGCTTGTCAGCTCCTGTGACACCGGGCTAAAGGGCCATCTCCACAGCCTCTATCTACATCTAGGAGTCAGGGCGATTAATCAGCCTTGACAATACGGACCCAAACAGTTAACTAATATCCATAGAGGTTCAATCAACATTTGTGCTACTGTAACTCTGTCCATCACTTTAGCTTTCTAGAGTCCCCAGTGCACTTTTAGGTCCACATATGCCGGTTCTTCAGGGGTTGAATGTTAAAATAAATTGTAGCTGAGCTGAGTAAATGTAGAAGGTTGTGTTTCCTCTTCAGAAAACTCACTGGGGAATGGAACGTGAGCATCATATGTAAAGCTTGGGGCAATGCATCTGATATGCACCCATTATATTTATTTCTCCCACTCTGTCTCTGTCTGCAAATCAACCCATCTACCTGGAAGACTGAACACATGGCCTCCTCCAGCGCCGTTGCTCTGTGTCATATTACTGCTGCAGCTCTTTAACAAGGGGAACCAGGCTATTGTGCAGTTAAACTGATGGTGAAAGAGTCAACAAAAAATGTGCATTTAATTTGCGTTAGCTCCATAAAAGGAGGCTGTATATACTTTTAATCTATTTTCAGTTGTATAAATATATTTTCTGCCATTCCTTCCACTGTCAGTAACAGGAGACACAGTGACAACAACCTTGTGGCCACTTTGTCACCTGCTGGTGGAAGTAAATTCTTTACAAGCTAATACAATCAAATATAGGGTCTACAAAATCAAATAATAGGGAGAGGACATTTTATTTGCCAAATTGCAAATAATTCAAATTCTAAATAAGTCCTATATTCTGTTAGACAATGGCTCATTTCTATTTTTTCTTCAAAAACGAGGCTACTAAAACAATGTAAATGCCCCATGATGGCAGAGTGGTAATAATCTAGGTGCCATGCAGTGCATGTGTGCACATCACAACTGGACCAGAGCTATGGTTAAATAATAAATCCATCAGAATTTTACTTTTAAATCCCTCCCCAAATTTGTTGGAAGCCACCTGTTTCAGAAATGATGACTGGTGAGGAGGGAGAGACTAGGCGAGCCTAATTAATTTTTAAGTGGTGTCTCTGTGGGTTAGAAGAGTAAGAGGGGAGTCCACTTGAGGGATCTGCCAAACTCCTCCAGTTGGTACCTGAACTGAGGGGCAGTGATGTGTTGCTGATGTAGCTCAACAAGCCACACTGGGGGCCAGATGAGAGCTGGGTGGAGGGACCAGAGCCCGAACTGTGCTTAGTGCTCCGTTGGGCGATGGGGGGTGATTTTAATTGAGCTTACCTCTGCAGAGGTAACGCTGACATGTGAAGCCTCATTCAACAAATAATAGAAGACATATCAGACTGGCGATATTAGAATGCAAACACAAACTTTTTCTTGCTCCTTTAAACTTTTTCTGATCACACATTTTGCGATTAGACACCAACAGACTCCAGTGTTGTCATTTTCAGCACATTTCTCATGTACATTACGTTCACATTGAGTCTGTAGACTACAACATGTTACCACGCCGTACAACCATGTGTTACTGTGCAATTTATAATAAAAGTGATGTCTGTCATCCTTACAAACTGTGGGTTATATGCACCACTCACACACATATTGGTCTCCCTGTAGTTGTGAGGGTGCTGATACATTCCCTAGCCCCTTACCCTAACCTCTGCCATGACCTCTAAATGACTAATTCCAGCCCTTAGCTTATCCCTAACCAGAATCTAATTCTAACCCTAAAACCAAGTCTTAACCCTCACACAGGTCTTTCAGGTGAGTGAGGAACAGGCAAAATGACCTCACATCAGTGCTTTCTAAATCTAATTCGTACACTCACGCACACATGAGGATACTTACTGATGTAACACGTTGCCCAGCCCTTTACCCTGTCCTTAACCATCACAGCTCTAACCCCAACTCTTCAAATGACCTAACCCAACCCAAGCCTAGCTCTTAACCTTAACCCTAAAACCAAGTCTTAACCCTCAAACAGCCATTTGAAGGGGAGTGAGAAAGTGATGACTGGCCAAAATGTCCTCACTGCCATGGCATAAAATTCGACCCTGTCCTCACACTGCTGGCCTTACAAACACACGCGCGCGCACATGCGTGCATGCATCATGACACCCGGACCTACAGAGAGAAAGCATCTCTCCCTGAGTGAGCGGAAGAAAGGGGGAGAGGGAGGCCAGCTTGCAACTCCACTCTTCCAGGGTCTCACACACAGGATCCGGGTGCACGGCTCCATTGAGTACGAGGAGGCTTTTGCGTGGAGGATCATTAGAAGTAACGAGTTGACACAAGGTAAATCTTAATGTTGAGGCGCCTTTCTCTACTGGCCCGGGGAGGAGCCCTCATTAACTGTCGCTAACAACCCGTGTAAATACACTGATTGGACAGCTCCGATACAAGCTCCCAGCCCTGCCAGGAAGTCCCCCTAATGAGACCACACAATAAAAACAATAAAAGAAAAGAGGGGAGAGGGAGGGAGGGAGAGAGAGACAGAGAGAGAAAGAGAGAGAGAGGTTAAAAACTTTTGTACTATCTTTGCTATTAAACTTGGCGCCACATTTGCAGATTATTATGACAACAATCACAAAACTGTGCATAATGGATTTTCAGATTAAGGCTCAGTTGTCTTTTGTGTATGCACCTCTAAGTCGATCCATTGCACCCATGAATACATGCACCCTGTGTTGGCAACTGTCTACAGTTAGTCTAATAGCCAAGTTGATTTTGGCGCTGGAGGTCGTTCAATCAGTAAATCATAGGCAAGATGCCATGCATAATTCTAGCCTAAGAAAGGGAAAACTAAAATAGGATCATGCACTGCAGCAGGTCATACACTTTATCTGAGAGTAGGAGGAAATGCAATGGAAGAATATGTAATAATATTTTTTTTACAAAACGCGTTAAATTCTTCTAGTGACAACTAAAAGATTTTACAAATTTTACGCACTGCATAAATCCTCCAGAAACAAGTGTGGCGTGCACATTAAGGCAAAACAGAACATGTCTAATATTTCCTAACATAATGCAATAAAAAAACTGCGCTGTTTCAGGAAACAAGTAATAATGGAAACGGGTGAATTGATCTCATCCAATTGCCAGGCGTCTCACATTTTTTCAGCAAGAAACATATTTTCTAAACTCAGTATTTGGAGTGATACTTTTTACAGTGTAGAGTCTCGGTGCCCCTGCGTGGCCAGCGTGGGACAGAGGGGATTGTGCGCCCCGTCCCGATAGCATCACACAGCTGCTCTGCAAAGGCACAGATCTCCTCGCTGTTCGGTGCATAAAAATGACCAATACACCAAACTGAATACGGATATTTGTGATAAAAGAAGAGATTTGGCAATTTGGAAGACGCGAATTCCACCCCTCCTCCTCACTAAAAATGCCATATAGTCTTTTCTGTATTTCCTAAATATTTTTAGTGTCCAAAAATTAAGACATTTTAGTCGTAAAAAGAAACGGGTCTGCTCAGACAGAACTTACAAGAGTAGCGGCTGGATTTCCATCCGGATCTTGGCAAACTGACCAGAAATAGTAGTGGCCAGTGTCACGTCCAGTCTCAGGCTCGCTCGGTGTCAGTCAGCGGAGACGAGCCCTGCCAACAGCTCTGCAGGGGACGAAGAGTAAAGAGAACAAAACAACAAAAGGTATTTCCAGATACGTTTGATGAAAAACAACAGTGTTGAATTTCCATATCACTAAAATTCTCAACTTTTTTTTTACGTGAATGATAATTAAAGTCAGAAAGTCAAATGCATGCGTGCACGTTTACATGCATATAAACATATGATTAGACAACTCGGTTTAAAAGAAATAACGTAAAGGGGACAAAACGCAGTTGTTTTACCCATCATTGCTCCAAAGTCCCGAGCTGTGTGGTGAGTCCAGGATGGAGAAGCAGGCACATGAGTCTCTCCTGTGTTTGCCAGGGAGGGGTGTGCTGCCTTTTCTGGCCAGCCTCTGCCAAACTGGGGTCAACGAGGGAGCAGAAAATAAAACAAGGCCCTATCTT